AAGAGATAGGAATAAGACGATGGGGTAGTAAATAGGCCAAGGTAAAGTAGAGCAATAAATGATCAAGGGAGGAGCAGAAAAGGATAGATCTTAGGCGTGGAAGAGCAAACGTGAGATAATTTAAACAACAAATTAATATACAGCAACAACATTTTGCATATACAAAGAGCAAGATAACCAATAGCAATGTCACGCGTAATAGTTGGAAGTCGGTGCATGCAAGCTGCAAAGAAAAAAATTTCTTTGATTAAAGAAAATGATAGAAATGGCATGGGATTTAAAGCAGCAAAAGAGCAAAAAAAAAGGAAGAAAAAAAGAAAATCATAAGAAAAAAAGAAAAAAACAGAGGAAAAAGAAAAAAAACCCCAAACAATATTTAGTACAGAGAAAAATAAAATAGATGAAAAAAAGAGGGAGAGGATAAAAAAATATGCATTTTTTTTAGCAAATTTTGTACTTAGGGGTTGTTTGGTTGGGGGATTCGTACCTCGATTTGAATCATGGTTCATAGTTCGCTACAGTATTTTTCCTCACAAAAAATACACATAAATCAAAAATGGTTCTAATCTCATGATTCTAATCCATGAACCAAACGTCTCCTTAATGCTTCTGTAAAAAAAAAGACACAGATCAAGATAGAAGTACAAATGAGTATCTTAGGCATTACAGATCATCAACATAGATCAGAAAAAAGAATAAAAAATCCCCAAATCATTTAATGCTTCTTTAAAAAAAAATGACACAGATCAACATAAAAGTACAAATGAGTATCATAGGCATTATAGATCATCAACATAGATCAATAAAATCAATAAATGCAAAAGAGATTAATTTAAGCAGAAGTTGGATACACAATCAACAAATAGGAAGATCTATAGAGCAGAGAAAAAATATGACGTTTACCTATAGAAATCAGCCATGGCATAGATCTCTTTATGGGCAAATCAATGAGCTGTTAAAAGGAAGAAAACACTCAAAGAAGATTTGAGAATCATCAGTAAAAGAAAAAAAAATCCAAAACAGAAAATAGCAATAGATTTTAAGCAATTAAAAAAACATTAGTAGACCAATCATAACAGAAAATAAATCACCAACAGTGAGAAAATGCTCGCTTTCTATCTTCTTTGTGTGTTTCTTTTTGTTTTTTTTTTAAGAAGGAGAAAAATTGCATGGAACCCAAAATATGTACTACCGCAACACAGAAAAAAGCCAACCAAAGTCCCAAATCAAAACAACAAAAAAGCAGCAAAAGGAGATCAACAAAAGAAGAAGAAGAAGAAGAAATAGAAGAAGGAGAAGGGAAAAAAATAAAGGGGAAAAAAACAAACGATAGTTTAAGAGAGAAAGGGAAAAAAATACATATACACACCGGCAAAATTGCATAAAAATCCCAAACAAAATCTGTAATAACAAACCTCCACCGAAAAATCTAAAAAACCAAAATCAAGCAAAGTATAAAAGGGAAAATCATTAACTTAAGAATACAAATCAGCATCTTAAATGTTATAAATTATTACCAATAAATCAATATCCATTACTCTCTTTTTCAAATTTTTTGCATGTTTCAGAAAATAATAACGTAACATGAAAAAATCCCCCCCCCCCCCCCCCCACTCCTTGCCCATCCCAAACGAAAAAAACCACCCCTCTCCAAATTGTGTGCATATTCCAAAGGATAAAAACCACGGGAAAATAAAATCACAGACTCATTTAATGCTTCTACAATAAAAAGGAAACAAATCATCCATCTAATAGTACAAACCAATATTGTAGGCGTCACAAATCAGCACTACAGAAATGCAAAGCAAATTAATCAAACCAAAACTCAGATCCTAAATCAGGAAACATCAAAATCTGCAAAGGAATGAAAAAATCTACACTCCCACTGTAAAAATCAGCCACAAACAAAACACACAATCATTAGCAAACAGATACACATTCCAAAAAACAAATAAGAAAAAAATTATAACCAAGCTTCAAAATTATCATGACTAAATAAATTTTTAAGAACATAGCAAAAGGACAATAATTTATTTAACCAAAAAAAAATATTACACAAAACCTACAACAATAATTGGACGGAGAACATAGAAAAAGATGAAGAAGAGGATGAATCAAAACAACAAAACAGAAGACCCAACCAAAATCCCTAATGGAAACAATGGAAATGTGCGCCAAAACAATAAAAATCCCAACCAAAATCCTTAATCGAAAGAGAAAAGAAGGAGCAAAGGCTAATTAAAAATACCTACACCGAAAACATCAACCAAACAAAGCTCAAATAAGAAACGGCAATAATGAAAAAGATCAGAAGAGAAGAAGCAGCCAAAGCGAGGAATAAGTGAAAGCAAAAGATGAAATGAAAGAGGCGGCCGCAGAGAAGGAAACTGAGCAAAACAATAGGGAAAAGTGTTAGGGCTTAACATGGGTGAATAGACTAAAACACCGGTCCAATCACTTTAAGAAAATCAAAAAGACCAACAGGCCCACGACCCACAAACGAAAGTGATTGGACCGGTGTTTTAGTAATAGTTATGATTTAAATTCTAAACTCAAATTGGTGAAATGAATAAGATAAAAATGATTACTTGGCCTCTTTTTCTTATTTTTGTACTTGGTTTATAAATAAATATTCTAAAACAAATCAACCAAATTAAATTTAAAAAGTGAATACCTGATTCAACGAACCACGGGCAAAAAGATAGATCAAAGAAAGTAACCAGAATTACTGAGCAGCAGAAATAGAGCAAAGGAATATAAAGGAGGCGGTAAGGTTAGTAAGGAATGACTAGTATCATTAAGGTCTTTAAACAGTGAGAAATGAGAGAGAATAGAACATGATAGATAATATTAGCTGAAAGATGAAGACAAAGAAAGAGTAAAAAATTAACATACAATATATACACATAAATTTACCAATGTTTTGCTTAATCTCAGGTACAAATCCCTGCAAACAGAAAGTAATAGAAGTAATGATTAATTAACAACAACCGTCACATTGCATGAAGACCACCGCAAAATGTAATCAATAAACAATAGACAGTTATATTTTGGATACATATTATACAAAACAGAAATATAAAAAATATACGTGTTAGTGTAAAAGATTAACATAAATATTATTACATTTAGATCACGACAAATATTAGAGATTTATTCAAATTCAGATATGATATTTAAAAAATATGAAGAAATTAAAATATAGTAAATAAAAACAGGAACAAAAAAATAAATAACATGGGTAAAAAATTTTGAAATTATGAAAAAAACAAAGTAAATTTTTTTTTCGCAAATATAACGGCCGAATAACAAATAAATTAAAAAACATAAACAAAACAACAAAATCCAAAATACCCACAAAAATCATAAAAAAAAAACTGGGAAAAACGACTGTAAAAATGAAGGGAAAATCGACAGCCAGAAAATCAACAAAGCTAAAACAAACAAAGCAATATAATAAGGTGTAAAAACATAGATCTGAATTAAACGACCAAAGAGTCAAAAAAAAAAAGAATAAGAACATAGATCTGAAACAAATGACCAAATCCATGAAATATAAAAAAAAAATAATCGACCAAACCAAAGACAAAGATAACAAATGGCGCAAGGAAAGAAAAAAGGACTATGCATATACAACTAAAGAAAAATAAAACATAAAACATCCCAAAATATATATGCAAAAAGAAAAAAGATGAAAAACGAATAAATCTGGTCCAGAAATGGATAAAAAAAAGATCTAGAAGGTTGTAGAAAGAAGAAATATGAGAAACAAAGAAATCTGACCCAAAAATGGAAAAAATGGAAAGATCTAGAAGGTTGCAAAAGGAAACAAACGGAAGAGAAAAAAAGTAGATCCAGAAACGAAGAAAAAGAAACACAGATCTAGAAGATCGTAGAAACCAACGAACGAAAAAAAACCTACAAAAGGAAGAGAAAAAAGTAGATCCAGAAACGAAGAAAAAGAAACACAGATCTAGAAGATCGTAGAAACCAACGAACGAAAAAAAAACCTACAAACGGAAGAGAAAAAAATAGATCCAGAAACGAAGAAAAAGAAACACAGATTTAGAAGATCGTAGAAACCAACGAACGAAAAAAAACCACTCAATCTAAGTGCGCAAAAAGGAAAACAAATCTAGAATGTTGCAGAAGAAAACAGACGAAAAAAAGAAATGTTGCTGTAGAAACAAAGAAATAAAAACACATATGAAGAAGGTAAAATCGTAGAAACCAACAAACGAAAAAAAAAACTCAATCTGAGTGAAAAAAAGAGCTCTAGAAGGTTACAGAACCAAACAAACAAAAGAGATAAATGACTGCAGAAAGAAGGGAAGAAAAAATTGCAGAAACCAACAAACGAAAAAGAAAAAAAACTCAATCTGAGTCTCAAAAAAGAAAAGAGGTATAGAAGGTTGCTAAACAAAACAAAGGAAAGATAAAGAGATAAATGACTGCAGAAAGAAGGGAACAAAAATAATTCAAAAAGCAACAAACGAAAAAAGCCAAAATAAAACACTCATTCTGAGTGTAAATGACCAAAACGGTCACAATAAAAAGAAATAAAAAAGTTGAACTAAAAGGCAATATAGTAAATTTGCATTCAAAAGGACATAACGGGAATAAAAAATTTATAGAAGAAAAAAGTAAGACTAAAACGGGAAGACATTATTCATTGCACTGTAATATGAACAGTTAATCACGTCCTTAATATATATAATATAATATATATATTAATATTAATTTTAAGATATGTTTAGTTCATGGATTAAAATCATGAGATTAAAACTATTTTTAATTTATGTGTATTTTTTATGAGAAAAAATACTATAACAAACTATAAATCATGATTTGAATCGGGTACGAATCTCCCGACCAAACTAGTTTTCTTCTTCGTGAAGAAACGGCGGACGTTAATCTCACACGCAAATGCACTGCATGTCTGACATCCCTGGCGCACATTTAACGATATGGCTCAACCAAACGACCAAGCGACCTCGTTTTGCTCCGTGTATCAAAGCAAAAAGCCGTAACACTCTCCTGCTCCACTCAGTGGAAACCAAAAACCAGAAACCAAAAAGCCAAAATCCGAAAACCACTTTCCTTCTACTATCAAATATTTTGATTTTCCATTAAATTATTCCTTTCAGCTTTCCCTTCTCTCCTCTTTCTCCTTCTATGCTACCCAAATCCCAACCAGCTTTTCCCTTTCCTCAGCTTCCACAAACTCACTCGTTAATGGAGGATTTTGACCCCACTTCCGTACGCCCATCGTTGCCGCTAGGAACGAACCACCACAACCACCGTCGTCGCGGGCAGATCAACACGCCGCGGTCGCGCCGACGGTCTCCGCAGCGATTCAAGGTCCCGCCGGGCCACGTGGCGTTCCGGCTGTTCTGCAACCAGTCGGCGATCGGCGGCGTCATCGGTAACAACGGCGCCGTCGTGTCGCAGCTCCGGCGGGAGACCGACACCAAGATCCACTTGGAGAACTCGGCGCCGGGCTCTGATTACGGCGTCGTCTTGGTCATCGGCTCACGTTCGCGGGACAGGACGATTGCTTTGACTGCCGGCGAGGGCGACGAGTCCGGGAGGGAGGAGGAGTGTCGCTGCGACGTGTCGGGAGCTCAGGAGGCCATGATAAGGGTTTTGGACAGAATCTGGATGCTGGAGGCGCCGAGCGAAGGCGGCGGCGGCGGTGGTACGGCGTCGAGAATGGTTTGGTGCAGATTGTTGGCTCACGGTTCTCAGATTCGCGTGGTGATGGGAAAAGGAGGGACTAATATCGTTAGAATGAGGAAGCAGAGTGGTGCTGATATCAGGATTCTTCCAGAATTTTCTCCCGGAGGAGACGAAGTTATCCAGGTTCGTGGTTCTCGCTTTGCTTTTTGGTCAAGGCCTGAAATTATTGTTTGGTTCTTCGGAAAATGACACGACTACGAAAACCAGTTGAAAAGAAAAACGTGTTCACTACAATCATTTACTGAGAACGAGAAAAAGGGCCTTTACAAGAGCAATTAACAAGGAATAAAATCTACCGTCCGCCGCAAGAATTGGAATTTTCTTCGAGTTTATTTATTTAAGAGTCTGAGACATTTCAATTTGATACGTAACTTTTCAATTGAATTTCCATTTGGCGGGATCACATAAGCTGCCTAGTAGTATAACTGGGCCTTGTTTATTAATATCTAAAACTTTAAAGGTATGCCCTTCATGCTATTGTTGGATAATTTTCGTACTAATTTGGCAAAGTAGAATTATAGTCAAGAAAATGTTTTACATTTTATTCCTTCTTTGTTTTTCGCATTCAGTTGCGTTTGTGTAATGACAGATTGCGGGAACAGTTTTGGCTGTAAAGAAGGCTCTTTTTGCTGTTTCTTTATGTCTCCAAGATCATCCACCTCAAGAAAACGGGCCGACCTTTTTTAGTGGACTTACGGAGAGCTCTTCGTTTGGGGCGTCTCATGTTTCTGATACGCAAGCCGAGTTTTTCCCAAATCTTGCTTCTTTGTTACCACAAACTGCTTTCAATAATAATGCTCCAAAAGACTCTTTGGCGATAGATGCCAATGGGGTTTCTAACAATGACACAAAGAGTACACGACAAGAAGTTGTGTTCAGACTTCTTTGCTCTAATTATGCAGCTGGGAGTGTGATTGGCAAAAAGGGAGCCATAGTTAGAGCTCTAGAAAATGAGACTGGTGCCACTATACGATTCGCAGCTCCTACAACTGGCTCCATTGAGCGCATTGTCACCATTTCTGCGCTCGAGGTTAGCCCGAAATGCTTAGTTTCTCCTTTGTGGCTTTAAATTGTTTGTTCACTCAGATCAGACACATTTACAGCTGTGTGCTTGCAATGTCCATAAACTATCTAATCAGTAGTTGATCATGGTATTTTTATTTCTTGTAGAATCTGGGGTCAGGGTTCTCTCCAGCACAAAATGCTGTTATTCTTGTTTTTGCTAGATCTGTTGAGGGGGACATTGAAAAAGGGTTTATATTGGGTTTCAGTCAGGGAGCAACAGTTACTGCAAAGCTTCTAGTTGCTGCAGATCTAGTTGGTCGCTTGAGTGAAGATGAAGGTAAGGTGATTTCAGATATCAGAGAAGTATCTGGTGCTGATATACACATACTGGGAGGAGATTCTGGAAATCAAGTGGTACAGGTACAGGTTCTATTGTCTTCTTCCATTATGTCATCTTTGACGTAAGATTTTGGTTACTGTTCTGAAAAAAAAAAAGGCCAAAAGACCTGTTGAAAATTGATACTGAAAATTATAACACAAGGCTCTGTTCTTTATGAAGTTAAATTTTGCCCTGACATGGTTTTTAGGTATGACAGCTATTTAAATTTAGACAGACTTTTCTCATTCGTCTTGTGTAGATTATTGGCGAGTATAAAACTGTACAGGATGCTCTGTTTCAAGTCACTGGCTCTTTGAGGGATCACCTCTTGCCTCGTGAGGTCCTTAATGAAGTGAGAGCAAGGAGTTCATTTGGAAGGGTGTCAGAGCCTACATCTTCGGGACCACACCAGTCTTTAGGTTTATTTCATGATTCTGATGATGAAGCTCTTTTAACAGGTCAAATGAACCGACTAGGACTCTCCCACAGTGTAAGTTCCTTTCCACTACGGTCGCAGCTACCTCAGGTCCATTAACTTTTTTTCTATAGCCTTTTCATTTCGAGAGTACTTAATTCATGCCGAGGACTTATTGTCCGGAATGCATCTTATTGCAGACGGTGGAATCAGGGCATTCCAAGGCCATCACAAATGTTCAAGAAGTCCTAACAAAGTTTGGTGGAGATCTTGAAGTTTCAAGGTTAGTTTTGCATAACAATATTGAATGTGGACATTTATTTTTGTTCCTCTTTCCTCATTGTGGGAAATAACCGCATTATCTTTAACGTTATCTTCTAGAAGCAAGCATTATCTCCTAAGGATTATGACCGGCTAGGGCTAGGGATCATGTGATTATCTATTTCCTAGATTCTAGGTGACCGGCTAACAACAGAATTAGGGATAAGTTCTTTTCTCCAATGAGTTTATCTAACTCGTGTATATATATAGCCCTTTAGTGGCTTGTGTAAATTATTGGAATTAATAAAATATTTTTTCCTCATTCTTTTCCACCTAGTATCAGAGCCATAGGGCTTTTTCTTTCTGGAAATAAATCCTTCTTTTCCTCGGCCTTCATTGCCGAATTTCTCTGATTTTTTTCCTCGGTCTTCATAGAATTTTTTCCTCGGCCTTCATAGCCGAATTTTTCTGAATTGTCTTCGTCACAATTCCCTTTTTTCCCATTATAGTTTTTTCTTCCGCAATTTTTTTCCTGAATTTGCCTTTTCTTTGCGGATTACCCTCTTTTATGTTTCTTGTTTTGCGGATTACCCTCTTTCTTGTGATCCCACATCCGAATAAATTCAGAGATGTCAGTGATAAGCCTAATAAGCCTTTGCTTAAGCAGGTTTTTGTTAGGAAAGGCAAGAGGGAATAAGAGGTTGCAGGGCTGAGTTAGTGGTTAGTTTGTTAGTAGTTGTATAGGGGAATAGTCGGTTAAGGTGGGGATGTACAGGGGATTAGTCGGATATAAGGGGAG